AGAATGCCTAACATCTCACTAAATTATTTTAGTTATGTTTACTGTAGGACATTACAGTAAGCTAACACAGAGTTTCAGTTGTCAGGATGTTCTTGTAACTCAAGAAGTTTCTAAAAACATTTATGAAACAACGGCAACAATCTGTTCCCCATGAGGCTCTTTGGGAAATAAAAAATACTTCCTGTTAAACATAAGAATATTTCTTTTACAATCCAGAGAGATCAGAGACAGGCCCCAATCCGATATCGATATCTGTATCGATCTCGATATTGAAAACAAAATTCTAGATCAAGCATCAGAGACGATGTATCTCGATCCATAGGGGCAGATCTATTCAGTCTAATTCTGTGCTTTGTGCTCTGAACAATGTCATGCTTTATTTATTTTACATTACTTTTTATTATTTCTAATTGCACTTTCTGAACCATTTAAAAGATTTGTTGTAGTTTATTTTTACATTTTTGACCAAAATAGTCAACCTATTGTTTGTCAGGTTCAGTTTCTTTATTATTTAACATCAACTGTTCTACTCCTAACTGCACCGACTGAACTAATCAAAGTTGTTTTTACTTGTTTGACCAATCTCGTGAAGCTATTGGTGTATTTAAATGAGCCATGCTGGTGCAGAGTTGGCAAATAAATTCATTATTCGGTTCATTTATTATTGTGTTTAAAAAAAAAAAAAAAAAAAAAATGTTTTCCTGTACTGTATTGGCTGATACTACACCTCAGATATCAGTATTGGTATCAGAAGTGAAAGAAGTGGATCGGTTCGTCGCTGTGTAAATCGCACCAGATTTCAATCCTAAGGTCAACTCTCTCCCTGTCCTCCCCCTAACAGGAGCTGGAGGACATGCTGCCGTCGCGGTCAGAGCCCCCCATCATCACCGGGGAAACGGAGGAGGTGGACCTGCAGGACTACGACGCCAGCCAGGGCTCATCGTCCGGCAGCCGCAGGGAGGCGTACAACGACAGCTCCGACGACGAGAGCGGCCACCACGGGCAGGGCGTGCAGTGTGCCCACCAGTAATCTCCATCCGGCTTCTCAGACATACACCATACGTATATATATTAAAAATATCTCTCTATATATATATAGACATATGCATAAGACCCCAAACACCCCCGTTCTGCAAGGGGAGGAAACTCTGTAAGTTGCAGAGGAGCCAAGAAACATCCAGGTAGTTCCACAGACACAGATCCAGAGCACGGCTGCACCTTGTAACTGTTCCCTAACGTCACTCACCCCAGTGCTCAAATCATCCGATCTCTGTCTGAGGAACTCTGAATATTACACCGCACCTAGAATGAATGAAGATTTATGGAAATAAGTTTGACGCCCCCCCACTTCCCCTTCCTGTCATCTTCCTCCACTGCTCAAGTCAGATTCTCTCATCTGATGGGAGGATCCAAAGAGAAGAAGAAACAAAATGCTTCTCTATTGCAGAGTGTGTGACCTTTTTTTTTGTTTGTTTGTTTCATAGTATTTACATTAATTTAAAAACTAACCAATGTGCACACAGACAAAAAACAGCTGAGCAATGTGACGTAAAGATTATTTCTCAGTGATTCACGGACTCATCCACTCAGCGACATTTGTAGGATTTTGTTTCTGATTTTTACCTTTTTTGTTTGTAGGATTTTTATGTTTTCTTTCTTTTTACATTTTAATTCAATGAGAAATTTGGTTGTGTATATCATTACGGTGGTTGTTGATAAGCTTCATCAGCAACTGCAGTTTGAGCTGTGATTTTTAAGAAAAATAAAAAATAAAAATTATTAGTGAAACGGGGAAGAATAAAACAAGCTATCGTCTGTTTTCTGTGCTGAGACCATGTGCATGTAAAAAGCTTTGGTTCTTGCACTTACCAAACAAAATAAAGCAGCATTCTTCTTAAGAAATGTCTCTGAAGTTGTTGAATAAACTGTTGAAATACCAAGTTTGGTGCCTTTCTTTTTGTTTTTTTTGAAAAATAAATGATCTTTGTAGCTCGTCAAAGATTTTTTTTTTATCACTTTACCATTTAAACTCAGTGTTTGTCAATTATAATTCTGCGTTATTCTGAAACATTAAAGCAGATCTATGCGTCTGGAACATCCACAAGAACATCACTTAATTTATTCATTTAAATTAATACTCATAGTTTCCTTACACAATTATAAATTAATGTTGCTCACTGTATGATGAATCTATGAGTGTGAAATTAACGGGAACACAGCAAATGTGAATAAAGTTTTTCTATAAATGTTTTGCGTTTTTTTACAACAGTTTTTTTCACATCACACGAGTCACATGATCATATGCAAAAAGAAGAAGACAGGAAGTAGTTGAAGTCACGGCGGCTTCTTAGTGAACAAACTTAACGTCATTTTTAATTGAAAACACCAAAGATTTTAATTTCTAGTGGAAACTCAACTAGTGATAAATTTTCATTGGACTCTTCATTTTGATAATTTTGAACAAGATCAACACAATCAATTCCTTATGACCAATAATAAAAAAAAGAATACAGACAAGTCAGCCAGCCGGGAACAGCGTCTTTCATTTTGTTTTTGACATTAACCGAGGGGAGCTGAGTTTGTTGGTTGTTTTTAAGTCCTAATTTAAAAAGAAAAAAACACAAAACAAAATAATCTCCATGAAGTTCTCCAGTAGAAGGAAGCGTGAAGTGATCCAAAATGTCCAGATGGATGCTGTTCTGACTTTGGACTTGACAAAACATTGGAGTGCCTCCAGCTGATGACATAATTCCTAATAGTTTGTCTCCATGCTTCAAACAGCCTCAATAACAGCAGGGTCCAAACGTTTTGCCATGACGGTCAAAACCGTTAAGTTGAAATCACATGATGCGGCCACAACAATTGCATATATTTTTTCTTTAAAATTACATTTTTAAAACAAACCTTTGTGCCTTGATTTATCAATCAAATGTACTGCGATCAAAAAAAATTGTGCTTATTTGAAACAAAAATGATGAAATGGAATGAATGTTTTTAGTACTTAGCATTTTGTGCAAACGAGGAGCAAGCAGCTGGAATCCTGAGATAGATTAGAGAAGAAGTTAACCATCATTTTAAGCTGAATGTTTTACTGTAATGTGGATTTCATGCTGCAAATCTTTTTAGTAGTCTTACTTGATTTATGCAATTGTCTCAAATATTTATATTTATTTTTGTCAGTATGTTTTAAGGGGTCATTATTTATTTTAACTTCATCCATCCTCTAACTGCTGTAGTTTCTTTGACCGCCTTGGATAAGAGTCTGAGATTTTGGCTGTACTTTGATCCATTCATGAATGACAGCTTTCCATTTTCTTTCTGGTTTTCAAATATATGAGACAATTTTCTGCACTTCTTTATAAGTCTCCGGTCCATTTCGAAACAACTTGTAATCAGAGCATAATGTGCAATAAAACCAACATGAAGAATATTTGCTGCCTTCATCCTCGAGGACCACCCATTTTTCATAAGCTGAATGATCTCACACTTTACATGGCTACTAACTATTTGCTGTGGAAAAAATTTATTTCTAAAGCAAGTGTTTAAGTCTTCAATATAAGACAAACTTATCAACAATTATGAACAGGACACTTACTTTTCCATTATCCAGTAACTATACTCCTTATAAGGCATGTTCCCTATCGTGACATCAGCGGCGCCGTGGCTTAGTTGGTTAAAGCGCCTGTCTAGTAAACAGGAGATCCTGGGTTCGAATCCCAGCGGTGCCTTTTGTCTTAATTTCCATTTTAAGGTGCTGAGAGCTTTTATTTTACCTTTCTACATCCTTTAAAAATACACAGAAAATGCTACAATAATTTAAATCTATTTCAAAAGGACCATAGTTTGTAGATTTTGCAGAAAGACAATCCAAGAAATGTGCCTTACGCACCTTATGTAAAAGATGTCTGTTACTTGTTGCTGCGGAAGGCAGAATCAGCAGGTGAGTGTTGGCGGGTCAGGTGGCCGGTGTATGAGGATAACGTGCTGATTTGCGAAGGATTATTGTGATCGAATATGTGCTGAACCAGACTGGACTACTTTTAATAGGCAGTGGCAAACAGCGCCATCGTCTGGAGGACTAAAAAAACTACATGCAGTAAACCTTTAAATACCAGTAGAGGGAGTAGAGAGGGCCAAAACTGTCAACATGAATCCGCCCTTCATCAGATGATGAAGGTGAGTTAATTTTAGTTGGCCCTTCTTATTGCACTTCTCAATAAGTAGTTATAAATAAATATATGTTTGAAATCTTATGCTGTCAAAAAAGGCATCAGGTTCAGCGACCATCCTTTGAAAAACTTTGGTTGTGCAAAGAGCAAAGAAAGTTTACAAAGAAAATTACAAATAAGAACTCCAGAGCAGTAAAGAAACTCTTCTTTTTTAATTAAGTTCACATATTTAATATTTAAATCTCACATTAATTGGGACAAAAGACCACTTACTTAGAGATTTCTTCTTTTTCAAAATAAATCGTTGTTGATGTGAAACAACATTAATATGATGTATTTGTAAACGGAATGCCTTTTTTATGTTGTTTTTTTATGTTTTTTATGCTGTTGATGCTAATGGGGAGCTCAATAAACATAAACATTTTATAGCTATATTTTTGACTTGATGTTTTTAGAAAATCTTCATATTTGTCACAAATAATTAGTTCACATCAGTTTTACTCGATTTAAATGAGCATGAATTTATTTTTAGAATTTTAAAACGCTGTTGCTTTAAAAAAGTTAAGTACGAGCTTTATTCGTGAACTAAAGTTATTTTCAATAAATGATCACATAAATCAATGCATTCATACAGCATAGATACAGTGCCTTCCAAAAGTATGAACATTCATTGACCTTTCACACGTTTGTCATATTACAACAACAAACTTTAAAGTATTTTTTAGTATTTTATACCGTCATGTAAAGCTAAAAAAGTAGAAAAATTAAAATTAAAAATAACAGCTGTTTATGTAAATATTACGATTTATCGAACACAGTAAAAAGAAAAAGTGAACAAATGTGGAAAAGTTAAAAGGCTTTTGAAAGTTTAATTACGTATCTTTGAAGTTAAATTAAAATAAATCAGCAGACACCGCACAATAGTTCATCAGCGTTAGAACACCATGATCCAGCCTCTTAATTTGAAAAGTTGAAATATATATATTTTTCCCCCCTCCAGTGTTGCTTTTATTTTGAAGAGTCAAACCGGAAGCCGCGTGACATGCGCAGTCTGTCTATCTTTCCCTGCTTTGCTCCGACTGCAAAGGACACAATGCACGTTCCCAGCGCGGAGCGGCCGGCGGCGTGTCGGAGCTGACAGCAGATGCTGGAGCCTCGCTGCGTCCCAGATGCGGAGCCCCGGATCCTGAGCGGACCATGGGGACGACACAGCCGCCGCCCCCGCCTCCGCCGCCACCGCCGCTGCTGCTGCTGCCGCTGATCGGACTGCTGTTGTGCCGCTGCGCCCCGCTCTGTGCAGGTGAGAAAACAACAATCCCTCCTTCCTTCCTTCCCTCCCTCCCTCTCTCCATCCATCCATCCATCCATCCATCCATCCATCCATCCATCAGCGCAGACCTCCCGTTTTTATACCCGTGTTCCTTCCATTCATGGAGGCTTAATGAACCCGCTTCTGATGCGTTTCTTATTAATCACACCTGAATAAACCTGAATAAACCCGGGGCAGCGGTGTTCCTGCCGCCGACACCGTGCAGAGCCTTCAGAGGTTTCCATGTTGTGATCTGCAGGAGGAAGCGGTGTCAATCATCCTGCCGAGAGCATTGATCTGTGGTGGCTAAATGATCAGGGCGAGTGTAGAAACATGGATGCTCTTTCACAAACGTGATGCTGCTATCAGCATTACATCACTGCCTCTCTCTGCAGCCCCGCTCTTCCTCCTCCTCCTCCTCCCGTCTCTGTGTCTCTGCACCTTAATGGAATGACCATAGAGTTGATGCTGAAGCTGCAACACACGCTCTTTAGAGGTCTGTGTGTGACTGAGATAAGTGATTCACACACCTTCCTAGTTGAAGACAGAAGACAGCAGACACTCATCATGATCGGCTTCATTTATGGCATTTTAATGACAGTTTAAACTGAAATTAAAGGACACAGCTGGAATTCATGATTAAAACCAAGAAGTACTGATCTATTTTTGGATTAAATAATCAAATATAAACACACAGATTGTTTTTTTAAGCACAGTTAAAGTTTCAAGAGAGTTGGTGTGCAGTTTTTAAATCTGCCAACATCTGCTCTGTGTGCCGCACCAGATGTTTCACCGTCTGATTTTGTTTCCTTAAAAAGCCAATTTTCGCTGAGGTTTTTATGTTCTTATTCTTGTCTGAACAGTCACTAAATACTGTAACAAAATCGCTAAGTTGGAACTGCGACTGGCCAGTATAATCACCCTGCTTTATCAAATCCGAAACCACTTTGACCCTGAGCATAATGCAGCCACCACTATGCCTCACAGCTAGTATAGTTGTTTTGGGTGTTGGGCTCAGTTTTCTCCTGACTCCGTCCCTGTTGTGATTAAAATCCAGGTTTATGCCAGTAAACCAACCAATTTTTTTTTTTTTGCAGTGGCTTAATATGACCAAACTGTAATATATTTATGCTGATTATGAGTGTGTGCTACTTCCTGATCATCGCTGTGTTGGATTGTTAAAGGAGGAAAAAGTGTGACTGAATTATGAAAAATGAAAAGACCTCCACCCTGAGGCTCTCTGGTGACAAATGCAAATAAAAATAAAATAAAACATTAAAAAGAAAAAATGTTTGTATGTTTGTTATTTTATTTTCTTGAAAACAACAAACTGTACTTCAATGCTAATTTTTTTTAATTGTGCGATACTTTTATTTTTTGAAGAATATGAGAATTTAAATCAAAGTTTATAATTTTTTTTCTCATGTTCAAACATAAAACATCTTTCCTCTTTATTTTATCTTAAAACTGCATAAAAACAAGAACATCAGGTACTGTACATAAAACAGTTCAGAAGCTTTCGTTTGATTCATATCTACACAGCTCTGTTACGATCCAGTCGCAGCGTTTCATTCCCGCTTCCTGTCTGGACTTTGATTAGGCCGTCGCAAAGCAAGCTCCAAATCCTCCTCCCTCCGCCGCTCTGCAGGTCGGTCGGTCAGTGTGAGGCGTTTGGCGCCGCCGCCGCCAACATGGAGTGAACGGAGGGAGCAGGAGTCCAGGGTTGCTGTGGCAACAGAACACATTCTGCAGCCCTGCTCGATGCGCGTCCAGAAACGTCGTGTTAGTCGATATCCACCACTTAGCTTTTAATGACCCCACACACACACACACACACACACACACACGCACACACGCACACACACACACACACACGCACACACGCACACACAGACTCCTCTAGCTTCACTCTGCTGCTGATTCACTGATAAAGTGTGAAAGCCTTAAAAAAACAAGCTCACACACCCTCGGCAGAACCGAGTCCATCTCTGGGTGTTTTTTATCGCAGACATAAATATTCTCCGATCAACATCTCGAGTTGTGGCTCAGAAGCTTTTAGCTGGATTAGTTTTTAAATCTGCCAACATCAGCTCTGTGTGGCGCACCAGATGTTTCACCGTCTGATTTTGAAGAAAAACAGAAGTTGATTTTAAAGTAGTGGGTAGTGACCCTAACCCTTACCCTGAAAACCTAACTGAGGGAGGTTTTCAGGAAAAGCGGGTTGAATCTGAGGCGTCTGTTTATTGCAGAAGCATCAGGATCCCTGAGTGAGGCTGCTGAAACTTCACCGCCTCACTCTGACGGGGGAGTTGCTCCCTGGAGCAACGGCACCACGGCTACAGAGATGCCGTTGCCTTGGTTGCCGCTTTAACTCCTTCTGGATCTCTTTCAATCTACATTCACTGCAATAAATAAATAAATAAATCTTACCAAGTGTTTTTGATTTAATTTCCAGTGTGAATAAGACAAGTAAACAATTCTTGATTAAAAATGTTGCATATTATTTCACTTGCAAGACATTTTTCCTGCTACAGGAGAAATAATCTGCCAGTAAAACTACTACTTTTTTTAAAAATCAATATTAAGAAATGATTTAGAGCAAGCTGCTATATATAGCTGAAAAGTTCTGAGTAAGTCAGATTTGTCCTTTTTTTTAAAGTGTACTGAGATGTTTGCACTAGAAACAACAAAAATACTTGATAACATTTTGAGTTTTTTTTTTTTTAGTTTTTTGTTGGTTTTTTTTGCAGCGTTAGTAGCGATCAGTAGTCCCCAAAATCTGTCATGTTGGTTTTTAAAACGTGAAAAGATTTAGTTTCAAATATTTGTAGGCACAGCTGAGCACATTAAGTGTCATTTTCAGTAAATCTACTTAAAATTAGAACTTTAAATCTATTTACTGATCAGACTTTGACTTGTATGTTATATATCTTAAAGCATAAGATGCAGGTGTGTATATACAGGGACTAAAATGTGTATTTTAACAAAAATATAGATATTTTTAAAATAAATATATGTAAAGCATAGACGTGGTAAGCAGCAGTCACAGATAAATGGCAAATTAAAAATAATAGTTTAGGGTTTTATTAATTATATTTGATGATAAACTATAAAATTATTGAATCAGGACAGTTTCAAATGCAAATGTTTCTGTATTTATGCTAGTTTGTATTAATCCTTATCATATATTTTAAATTTGAAATTAGATCACATGCAGGACATTTTGCTTAATAAGAAAATGTATTTTACAATTCATTTTCAAATGCATTTATGTGAGGGAAATAGCGCCATATAATATATATTATATTATGATTTCCTGCTTATGGTAATGGTTCAGTGTTTTGGTTGGTTGCAGCGGCCTGCACAGAGCAGGTGGAGGTCCACACGGAGCGGAGGGGGGTCCTCTACAGCCCGGCCTGGCCCCTAAATTACCCCCCTGGCCTCAACTGCAGCTGGCACATCCAGGGGAGTCCAGGGGAAGTGATTACCATCAGGTAGGGTCCCTGCTGCACATGCGCATAACATTTCATTTATCCCAGCAAAAAAAAAAAAAAAAAAAAAAAAAAAAAAAAAAAAAAAAAAAAAAAAAAACACCAACACAATCCGTCCTGGGCTCCAGCTTCCGTAACTTTGACCTCATGGAGTCGGGAGGATGCTCGGCGGACTGGCTGCTGATGACGCCGACGCGCAGCGGAGAGTCCAGGCTCTGCGGTTCCGTGCTGCCCCCTCCTTTTATTTCCACCAGGGGGCGCGTTTGGCTCTACTTTCACTCTGGGAGCAACAGCGCGGGCCAGGCGCAGGGCTTCCGTCTCTCCTACATCAGAGGTGAGAAGGGAACATTTTCTCTGCTCTCCAGTTTGCAAAAAATATATTCATACTCCACAAAATATTTCACTTCACAGCCAGACATGACAACAGACACTTAAATGTGTTTAATTGGGATTTTATGTGATAAACTAGCAAAGAGTGAGTGTAAACTCGAAGGATATTATTGCATGTTTTTCTATATTTAACGTCATGACGTGCCTTTCAGGGCTGCAACTAAAGATTATTTGAGCAATCGATTAATCTATCAATCATTCTGATGACTAATCAATTAATCAAGTAAAAAATTTAATAACATAAATTTTTTAGTGTATAGTTGATCATTTTTAGCAAAGGATACATTTTTATTTTTGTTAATCTATTAATATTTAAAAGAAAAAATGTGCTCAATTTTTTTTTTTTTTATAATTTTTTTTTTCTACAGAATTTTAATCAGGTGAAGCTAAATCTGCCACTTCACTAGTTCTGGTTTCAAGTGGCCTTTTTTGTGTTTATGCTCAAGTTAACGATTCATTAGTTACTGAATTAGTTGACGATTATTTCAATAATCAATTCATCACGATTAATCTGATTAATCATTTCAGCCCTAGTGAATTTGAATGATATATTTGGTATATATAAATTGGCAAGAAGTTTGTAATTATTCTGCCTGTTGTTTACCTCTGACCTGCTGAAACCTTCACAGAGCGACTGGATTCATACTGACACTGAACTACACACTGACCTGGTCACTGCCTTCCTGTTGAATCCTGCTAGATTAAAATCTCACTTCATAGACAGTCTGGGATTCCTCTCGTTTACTTGGATTCCATCCAGTATTTTTTTTTTCTACCGAACCAATCAGCAAACAGAATCGGAAGTTGTCAACGACAATGTCGATTTTCTGTTTTAGAATTGTAGAGTCTTCCTGACCTGTAGTTTTAGCAATGGCAGCGGAGGAAGTGAACAAAGGTGCTCAGTCAGTGGAGAATGTTTGTTTACAGCAAAGGCTATTTCTGATCAACTTTATAACGTCGAACTCGCGTCCTACATATTTCATGGCCAAACCTTGGGTTTTGGATAAAATGTAAAACTGAACAGAGTCGACGTCTCCAGGAGGCAGCCAGAGAGCCCAGACTTATGAAGCTAAGTGTAGAACAGCGGTCTGGTTTTTACACACAGCTGGACTCTGCCTGGGTTTCTGCCCTCTGCAGGTCACCTCGGTCAGAGCAGCTGCCAGTCAGACGAGTTCCTGTGCGGGAACGGGAAGTGCCTCCCTCGCTCCTGGAAGTGCAACGGCCAGGACGAATGCGGCGACGCCACAGATGAACACGGCTGCTTCCCGCCTCCCACCGAGCCCCTCCCCAGCCTCTGCCCCCCAGGCTCCCTACCGTGCACCGAGGCCCAGACCACCCGCTGCCTGCCCGCGGCGCTCCGCTGCAACGGGGACCGAGACTGCCGCGACGGGAGCGACGAGCTGCGTTGTCCGGACACCACCTGCGGCAAGCGGCTGAGGAACTTCTACGGCTCCTTTGCCTCGCCGGACTTCTTCCACACCGACCGGAGTTCCGTGACCGAGCTGAGGTGCTCCTGGCTGCTGGACACCCAGGACCCCAAGCCCATCATGCTGCAGCTGGACCTGCAGCTGGGGCCTGGGGATTCCCTCCACGTTTACGACGGCCTGCTGCAGCGGGCGGAGCATCTCTTGCAGGTGCTGTCGCATCACAACAACCGGCGGCCGGCGCTGCTGGAGTCCAGCCGGGGCCAGATGAGTGTCCTGTACATGGCGCAGCCTCACAGCCCCGGGCGAGGCTTTAACGCCACCTATCAGGTGCTTCGACGTTCCTAAGCTCCATGACACAGTGGCGCCCCTAAGAGGGTGACTAGTGGGGGCCATGACCCCTTTCTCCCAACTAAATAAGTTTATTATTTATTTATTTCATTCCTTTATAGTTTAAAATGGACATGTCACATGTTGATTGAAACAAAAGTTTGAACTAAAAATGAGAAAAAATAAATCTTATGTATTCTACCCCTTCCTCTCAAAAGTCAATGTGAGAGTCAATGTGCCCTTAGAAACTAACCATAATTAGATTTGTTTGTTTGTTTAGTTGTTTTGTTTTTTAAATCTCTGATTCTCCCAAATCATAATCTTATACTTTATGTTATCTTTCTTAATAAATCTTTTTTGCACGTGTTAGTAAAATACTATTATGCATTTTAAAAATAACTTACAGAGTATAATAATCTATTAAGTTATTAAATAAAGTTATATACATATATATCTGTATCCAGTCCATCTTTATCACCACCCCTATGCCACAGTTGTCATGATGACTTGTTTCTGTGTAGCCAAGCAAAGCCTATACATTTATTTGATGTCGTATCCTTTACTCCACCTCATAGGTCAAAGGTTACTGTTTCCCCGGAGAGCACCCGTGCGGCAGCGAGCAGGGCTGCTACTCCGACCACCAGCGCTGCGACGGGTACTGGCACTGCCCGTCGGGCCGCGACGAGGAGGCCTGCGCCATGTGCCCGGACGGGGAGTTTCCGTGCGAGGGAGGCAGCGGCGCGTGCTACGCGGCATCCGAGCGCTGCAACAACCAGAAGAGGTGTCCGGACGGCTCGGACGAGAAGAACTGCTACGACTGCCAACCCGGAAACTTCCACTGTGGCACCAACCTGTGCATCTTCGAGACGTGGCGCTGCGACGGCCAGGAGGACTGCCTGGACGGCAGCGACGAGAGGGACTGCCTGGCCGCCGTGCCCCGCAAGGTGATCACGGCGGCGCTGATCGGCAGCCTGGTCTGCAGCCTGTTGCTGGTCATCGCTCTCGGTTGCGCCCTCAAGCTGCACTCACTGAGGAACCGAGAGTACAGGTGAGGGATATCGCAATCCTTAGCAGTAAATCTACGGCTTAGATTTACTAATGCGTGATAAATTAAAACTAGCTCAATAATTTCCATTTGCACGATGGTTGGTTTTTCTACCATTATTATTATTATTTGCTTTTGTTTGTTATTATTTATTATTTGTTTATTATTTGTTTATTGGGTTTTAAATTTATGTTTTCATTGAAGAAGACTTTTTTTTGACCTGATTCTCTGGGGGAGCCGGTGTTTCAAGAGAGGGACATGACCCCCATTTGAGATCACCACTGCATGGACTGTATGCATGCAACAGATCATTTTATGTGTTAAAGCATTTCATCATTGATCCTTCTTTTTGACACATAACATTTCAACAAACCTATCCTGACGTATGTGGTTGTAATGAACCAAAGTGAAGAAAAGGTCAAGGAGAATTAATACTTATGCAAGGAACAGCATCAGTGTTGATTTAGCTTTTGTCTTTATTTATTTTTTGTTAGTACAACATGGGTTTTTTTTCTTGGCAGAATACACAGGAATACCTGATTGAGTCTAATACTTTTAACTGGAGCTGGTGGAAATAAAAAATGATAATTAATTAAATATAAAACAGGTCGTCTCGTTTCTCACTGTTGCTCTAATTGCAGAGCGTTTGAGACTCAGATGACTCGCATGGAGGCAGAGTTTGTTCAGAGGGAAGCCCCCCCTTCCTACGGCCAGCTGATAGCCCAGGGTCTCATCCCCCCGGTGGAGGATTTCCCAGCCTACAACCCCACCCAGGTAACACCATATGAGGTCTGTGTCGTGGAAATGTACGGTGACACAGCACCAGACATAACCTTTATTTCCGTTCCTCCCTGCATTCAGGTGTCGATGCTCCAGAACCTGCGGCTGGCGATGCGCAGGCAGATCAGGCGTCACTCGACCCGCCGCTCCTTCTCTTCTTCCTCCCGCCGGCGCCTCGGCCAGCTGTGGAGCCGGCTGTTCCGCCCCACTGGTCGAGCCAGGGGCCACGCCGCCCTGCTGGACCCTGCCGAACCCGCGCAGGTCACGCTGGGGCTCCACAGCTACAACGCCGTGAGGGAGGAGGGGTCCCTGGCCGCGGCGGGAGCTGCTGCGCGAGACGCGTCTGAAGACAGAGGCTCATGTTCAGCTGTGGTTGACCTCCAGGCCAGCGCGCCCGAGAGCCCCGCGTCGCCACTGTCCCCGCACTCTGTGAACAGTTCCGACTCTGAGGCACCGTCGCCCGTCGGCGTGGTTCCCCAGTCAGACCCAGCAGCCCCTCAGGCGGCTGCTGCTCCCTACTTCCCCCGCCGGCCATCAAAGAAACTGGTTCTGGAACTCGCAATTAACCTGAAGGGCGTTTCCTTGAAACGCTACTCGCCCGTGGGGCCGCTTTCCCCCGTGTCTCCTCCTGTTCTGGAGAGCAGCTCCTCGACGCAGTCGGAGCGACGTCACCCTCAGGGTTCAGCGGTGTCGTCACCCTCTGAGAGCGTGCCTCCGTTAGTGGAAGAAGACGAATTTGACGGCCATTTTTCTGTGGACGTGCCAAGTGAGGAAAGGAGTGAGGTGAACAGAGAAGGAGCAAGCTGACTCAGCAGGTTCCACACAGCGAGGAAGGTGAAGACTCAGGGAGGGAAGTGCCATGAAACACGGAAAGCTCTCGGTGGGGGAAGACCGGATATTGCTCCAATCAAGTGTCCTTCTAATGTGTCTGAGACCTTTCCTTTTCACTGACAGTTCATATTCTGACTGCTATCCTGATGTGAATAAAACCAGCAATGTGTGTTGTTAATTTCTTTGTGAAGCTCACTGAGTATTTGAACAACTCTGATCAACCTGCTTAGGCCAACACACAAAAAAAAAAAATCTACTGAGCAAGCCAAAACAGCTTCGTGTTGCTACCCAGAGCCATTACACACCGCTACTGACTGTGAGCCGTGGAAGCCTATCGACAAACTTCTTCCCCTCCCTCTCCTACAAGATAATATTTTACGGTAATTTTTAACATTTGGTCGCAGTCTGCCACATTTAGGAATGAAGGTGGAGATATTTATTGGTTCTGTTTATTTATTGAAAAGGTGAACCATTATTTTAATCATTACTCAATCAATGCAAAAAGACAGTTACTACTTACCTGGTTAGTTTTATTCTCACATCCTGTCACTGGTTTCTCATTCTCATGATGTTGATTGTTGTTAGCATAATTATGTTTGGTATTTATTTATTGCTGCTTTGTGATGCACCATCTTCAGCTGAAGGCTGGAATAAACAACCTCAGAATTTACTTGTAGCTTACAAGAGAACATTGCATAACAAGCTGGTTAATAAGTCAGGATATGTGTTTGGTTATCTAGCCTCAGGTTAGCTACTCGACAGACATGTACGATTCTACTGTAGTTTTACGACAGCCTACGAGTGATGGATGGAACTCCCTTTAGTTTCAAAGGCAGGATTTTGTAAACGCTTTTCATAATCGGAAAAAATAAATATTTCAGCCGAATTTGTCTTTCTTGTAAGCATGAGGAAAGTACAAGAGCCTTTTCAAGCCAGCTCCGTGGCAGTGTGCAAGCAACAGGTGGGGGAAGGGGAGCGCTACACTCTGCTTGACGTAACCAGAAAAAATTCTGGTCACTCCAGCACTTTCTTAAATAAAGAACCTTAAACATTTTAAAAGGTATGGAAGATTGTGAAACAGGAACTTTTTCGAAACCTTGGTTTACCTCGATACCAGCACTAACACCATGACTAATCCGAATCATGTGATGTGTAAGAAGTATGTTAAAATTTTACTGTTTGACATAAAGAAATTAGTTGGTTTTATATTTAAAACAAAAATACTTGTTCTCCTTGAACTGAAGTAGCCAACATGAATGCTTCAGCCACATCACATTTATAGTTTAATGGCTGTTAGCTGGCAGTTAGCTAGCTTAGCATACAGATTGGAAACAGAAAATGCTAGATTTACAGTGGTTTGTGCTTTTTCTTGTCTCTGTGTTGAATTGGATACTTGCGGTTGTAATATCTATCAACATTTGTCAATATCAATATTTTTCTTAAATGTGTGCAGTGTACATTAGCAAGTTAGCTTAGTGAAAAATTTGAAAATTGGAGGAAGGGATACATTTTGCTGCTTTCTGTTTTCATTCTCTGTTAGGTTAAACTAACAGCTTTCTTCAGGTTTTATAAGTGAGGTTCCTCAAGATGTTCTTTTACCTCATGTGCAACTTGGCCTAAGCAGGGATGCAGTTAGCTTAGGACATTTATTAGCAATTGGTAAAAAAAAAAAAGACTAAGCAGCTGTTTCCTCCTGGTTTTGAACTTTGTACTAAGCTAATCTTGCTACAAGCCTTATATATTATATATGTAACACTAATAAGTTTTTTTTAATGAAACTTATTTTAACTTATTTTGTGAAATATCAAGAAGCAGGCAACAGATTCAGCTTGAAAGATTTCTCCTACGTTTTCTGCTGGCAAATGTATTTTCAACACGATTTTGGATACAGCTCAAATTTTTTGCTTAGCATTTCTTATTTGCTACGTCATGAATTTTTAAATACCCAAACTGGGGCGAATACAAAGGTCAAAGAGCCCGGATGTTGCCTGTAAATGTGCGCATCATATTACATGTTCTTTTGCTATAATCCAAACTTTCTCTATGCGAGTATCCGCAATGATTGTGAAGACATTGGAGACGAACGGTACGGATCCGACATAAACTTCTCACTACGCTCTGTTCGTGGAACTGCTCGAGAAAATGATGGAAAAAAAAATTATAATATGGGACAATAAAGAAAATAACTTTTTCAGTTTTCGGTTAAGACTTGTGTGACTATCTTCCCTTTTCTGCTCGTGTCTATGGGGCGTTTTGTAAACGCCATTTTTCGCTGGCAAGAGCCGCTTCTACCAATTACTGCTGGACTACTATAGATTGTAAACGTAGTTTTTCTATTTACCTATTGGAACTATCGCGCCAATATTTTTGCAGTAAAAAGAAGGAATGGTTTAACTTTGCCCAAGAAAGCAAGAGACATTGTTAGGAGCTTAACCTGGGTTCATGAATGAAACTTATTTTTTTCTTATCCAGCTTGCTGAATGTTCCATGCTACCTTCATCCACAGGCTTTGCCAACCTATTCATACCTCTTGAACACACATTCACATTTGGTCACGCGTCATTCAACCACACTGTATTGGAATTTGATATGATACACCAAAACAAAGTAACAAATTGCTTTTGAAGTGGAAAGGAAATGGTTTTACAAATTAAAATCTGGACAGTGTGTCATGACAACTATGACGTGCAGCGTTACCTTTAAGTCACATATAGAGTATCGGGTGGCTTACTCTATGTGTGATAAAAAAAATAAATAAATAAAATAATTTTTTTTAAAACCCTGTAAAAACGAATATGAATATTTTTGCAAAGCACTGTTCTTTTTTTTTCTTGTACTTTCATAAAAAAGCTGCTGCGTCATGTCATGTCATGGTTTTTCTGTCAAAACTAATTTGACAGCCGTGGTCGACTGTTTATGATATTTTGCCTTCCTGGACGCGGTACGTTGTGATTCGTTCAACTGGACGGTTCGGTTCGGTTCCAGTTCACCGCTGCATCAAATCGACTGTCTTCTCAAAGGGGAAAACGATTTTGGTTAAACGTCGTGTAAATATGTTTTTGTTTTTTTCACCCCCCTCTGGTGACATTTAAAATCTCAGTGATCCACATGTCCACATGTATTATTTGGAATTGTTTAATAAGATTTTGTTGTGTGGGTAATCTGAAAAAGGTTAGGTTTCATTTAACCTCCCAGATGAATTAAATAATTTCCAATATGTTAATTCCCAACATTAATGTTAATGTTTTTGTTCAAGCATTGCTGAGTTTCACTGAATTAGGTCAAGAATAATTTAAGGTTTGTAATTTAGGTCGGGTTGTTATTCCCATCGAAGTCTGAAGCTGAGTTTGTATTGTTATTTTGAGATTCTAAATTTGGACACTTTTCTCCGAAAATGTACATCAAGACCTACTGATCAAAAACAGTGTCACAGTTTTGATGTGCCTGAATGAATAAATAAATAAATAAATAAATAAGAGGTATAGTTTTCCCTCAATTCTTTAACCAAGTGATGCTAAAACGGAGTTTCAAATTTCTACAAAAACACAGAATGCAGCAGGCACTTTGTGTACATAATATCTCCTGATACCAGCTGTCATTTCTGTCAGTACTACAGTAAAATATTTGGTCACAATGCTTTGACATGTGGATGTGCTTATTGGATAAAAGTGCAACTATTTAGACAAAATAAGTATAAGTAGAATTCTAAGGCAAACAGTTTGTGTACATAATTAAGAACCTTTACATTAGTAATTTTCACCAACTTAAAAATACTGAGCAGCAACTAGCAACCCCAACTTGGACGAGGTAAAAGACAATAGATTTAACAGTAAACTTTTCAAATTCAAAAACACTCTTTCGAAACAATATAACTCTTCATCACAAACTCAGATTTTTATGTCACTGTTTATTCTGGCAGTGCTTTTATCTGATGAGACCACAAACATGACAAGTGACAAATACCTTTTATAAGCTGCTAAATTTAATAACACTTTCCACTGTTATCATTGTACAACTTTACACATTTTTTTTTTTTTTTACAAACACAAGGGTACACGCATCCGTTATGAAGTGTGTGAAGACATGACAGCACGTCTGAGGAATGTAATCTTTGCAGGAGTCCTTGGCACCTTTTTTTTTTTTTTTACACAGTATTTACAAACTGCAACAACTACTGCCTGGACATGGTAAAACAGACCTGTTTTAGTCTTAAGGAGTCTCTCTTTTTTAAATACCCAGATACCAGAATACATTGGGTCTAGAAAAAGCACCACAAGTTTATCGTTGTCTTTCTAGGAAAAAAACAACAACATCTCCTCAGTAAGTTAGTTATTTTTGAAAGGTAATGCCGTGGACAAAATTATGTTGGCAATCAGGTCCCCAAACAATTTAAAGGGATAGTTTGACATCCTTCAACAGAGGTTTTTTGAAGTTTTTGTCAGTAGAAGTTCCCATACAAAAAAAGAGAAAGCGGCGATATCGCAGTTAGTTTGTAGAAAAGTCCTGAGTGACGGGAAGCTAGCTAATGAGACAAAAGTCAACATTTTAGCCAATTTTAGCCATATAGAACATGTTATGTGGCTGAGAAATTGGCAACAAATTTAAATGTCTCTTATATAACCGCAGAAAGTTTATATAGTGTTGGGTTGAGAAAACTACTGAAACTTCACCTCAAGAAGAAAGGAAACCATCTCTTCAAACGCAAACAAACACTTCACCTGCGCCATCCTGTGGCAGTATGATGCAAAAACCTGACGACACAAATTCAAGTAAGCTTTAGTACATCAACATGACTAAAATCTGTACAAGCGTAAAACGTCATCAGTACCTTAAGTTAGTTGGCAGGTTTATAAAAAGTCAACTGGCTGGACGAGCTTGTGGGCAATAAGGCAGATGATGAATGTTAGTGAAATAGGAGCAGTATGTTGGTGTATGAGGGCCATTGAAGATAGGAAATAAATGGAGGAGTGAATTTCTGCCAAAATTTTAAAGAAACAACTCAAATTTCTGAGATTAATCTCTAAATTTCCGAATTTTTAGCCAGAAATTTGCTACTCTTCTTTGTTTTTTATATCTACAAATGCCCTAATGTGCTATCGTACAAGCAGGAAGTGTACATCTGTGTTTCTGAATTTAACCTGTGCCAGCTGCCATTTTGGATTCCGTAACGCTATCCAGTAACAGGTTTGTGGTAAGTACTGTACGGTAACAAGGAATTCTGGAGTGACAACACCTTGGTTGGGTGAGCACCTCTAGAGAGTCCACCGCTAAATCTGGAAAACCTGAAGATACTGTCAGGTGCCAACCTCAGACATGAAACGATTCATTTATCCAGTTCAACTGACGCTTCTTGCCATTCTCATGTCTCTCTCAATTTGACATTTTCATGCTAGGAGAGAGAAATACAATTCAAAAAAATCAACACCGACAAGGCACATATGGTATCTCTCAGAACATTTGCGACAGATAAAAGGATGAAATAAGTGGTGTATCGTAAAAAAAAAAAAAAAAAGAAGCTACGACTGAGCAGAGAGGATCAAGAATGATTAGTGGTGCTGAAGAAAGAAGTAGCAATAAAAATATGGCTAAGTGCAGAAACTGCTTGCATATTCGTCTTAAAAGTTTCTCTCTTCTTTTTTTCTTCTTTTAAATGTTTCTCCATACCAGTTGCATTCGGGGAAGATGTACAAGAAAGTACATGACAACGATTCTTCATAACTCACAGAGCAAACAATTGGAAAACCTAAACACCAAAAACTGAAAGTGCAGGCTTGGATGCAAAAAAAAAAAAAAAAAACTGTCGCTGCTCAGTCGATGGCTTTGGCAGTGAGGGGTTCCGTCTCTGAAGAGTCTTCCTGTGGAAACACGACGTAGCACAGCTTCTGGCCCAGGTATGTCACTCTTTCTGCAAGGCAAACGGGACAAGTCAGCTGATGGGAATCTCTGCAAGCAGGAAGAACTGTTTAGAAAAGTATTGTATGTGTATCATTTATCTTTTAATAGGAATTCTGATTTATCATTGTCATGATAAATTTCAATTGTATATGTTAAATTAGAAACAAAAAGCAAACAGTATGATCAGAAATGTTTTTTCAACGTTTCTTCCACAAGAGAATCAGTAAATATTAATAAATTCCAAAATATGATTCGTTGCCGTGTGCAGTTTAAGTTACATTTCAAGTAAGTGGCATAAATTTAAGCTCCAAAAGTCAAAAATTTGGGAGGGAAATTTTTTTTTGATTAATCTCATAAATTTTCCAGAAAGAATTTGGAAATTTTTGACTTTTGAAATACTAGAAAATTTCGGAGGTTAATCTCAAAATTTCCTTAAGAATTTTGTTTTTTTTTTTACTTTTCAAACACAGAAATTTCCTGGAAAAAAACCTCGGAAATTTCTGAGATTAAACTCAAAATTTCAGAGTTTTTGTTTGGCAGAAATGAACTTCTTTTTGTTCTTCTCTACAATGGCTGATAGGGAATTGAGGGAATTGATACTTTTTACCATTTATTTACTGATGTATCTGCTGTTTTTATACTTCTGCAAAATGTAATTTCCTGTTAAAGATGTTTCCAGAGAATGTGCAGACGCTTTCGCAGCTGTCTACAAAAATAGGTAACATCCTGTTACCTATTTTAAGCCGACTTAAAGAGTTACCATATATGGAACGTAGTTTCCTGTACTTGCCTGAGCTGTTGAATTATCATTATGACGACACGCCTATGCTTAGAAGTGAATAAATATTGAAGGGCTACAAGCCCCTGTTGGAGTTGGTCTGTTGGAGTTAGCTCGTCTGATGCAGCTAAGTCTGACACGTCTATCCCCTTTTGCAAAAGACAAGTTTTTGTGTCCTTGTGAATCTTTCGGTTTATTTGAAAAATAAATCTAAAAATGGGCTTATACGCTACTGAAATGAAATAACAGTAGGAATGTTTTTCCAAGAACAATAAGTGTGTCTGAAGTGATATGAACACTGTGCCATGCAGTCACCTAAAAAAAATAACTATTTTTATCATAACCTCATCAAAATAATATTATCTTTTTCACAAAAGCATCACAAAATATTGTGATAAAACTCTGAGTCCACATTGCCCAACCCTTGTGCAGTTTAAACCTTACCCAGCAGTATATAAATCCACTTGGGCTTTTCTTTCCAATGAACTCCCACAAAGTAAACGGGGACGCCCGTCAGCATGATGACCATTCCCAGGCTGCACACCACCGGCTCAGAGTACAGACTGCAGAACAGCAACAGGGCCCAGAAAATCAGGTAGGTGATGGGAACCAACAGGTTCACCTGCAACAACAAATCAGGCAGAAATATTCACATTCATGCTTCAACATATACATGCAACATGTACTAGACATTTTTTTCTTTATATTCCAAGAAAACACATGAAAGTTTGTATTCCCACCCCCCCCCAACACCTAACATGTAGCTTTATATAGCAGTCACTAGGTGGCAGCAAAAAATTAAGTGTGCCTATGAGAAAGATGTGCCAAGATAACAGCTGATGTTAAGCTTATCCTAATAATTAATTAATCACATGATAAATTAAAATGAGCCCAATAATTTCCATTTGCGTGACCAATTGATAGAAAGACAGAGATAAAAAAGAGGGTAAAAAAAACATCTTCAGTCCTGGTTCATTGGTCTCAACAAGCCTGTTTTATGAAGGCCACTTTTGTTTACAAAGACTTCATAATTCATTCTGTTTGTTAATTTTGTTTATTTATTTTGGATATTTCCAGTTCCTGTGTTAAATATTTGTCTAAAAACTTAAAGTTTATCCATCTTTGAGAGAGTGCACTTGCATGATTATGCCATTACTACTAAATGACTTGAAAACTGTCTCAGTATGACAGTATCGTCATTCATCACGATCATTTCTGGGACAGTTTCATCCAGCAAAATTAGTCATGTTGACAGGCCTACCTGGTGTACATACAAAGTGCTTAACTAATTTAGTGGATATTCATGACATAATGGACACTGGCTGAGATGCTGGTATAATGCTTCCGTTAACATCAGGGAAGCTGTACCTTAATGGGTCTGGCCAGGTTGGGCCTCTTCTTGCGCAGATAGAGCAGGCCGGCGATGGTCACCCCGTAGGACAGGTAATTGATGAAGGACACGTAGTTGATCAGGTTGTGCGTCTCCCCGATACACAGGATGAGTACAGTGGCGATACACTGGAAGACATGCAGATAGGTTTAAACAGAAGGAAGATGTTAAACTCAAATAACAGGCGATTTAGTATTTTATTACAATTTCTACAATTTCGGGTATTAGGAATAAAAGCTAGACAGAAGTAACACTTACGCAGACGAGCAGGGCGGGGATCGGTGTGCAGTTTTTCAGATGGATCATGGCCAGCAGGTACGGCAGGTGACCCTCTCTGGCTCCAGAGAAACACAATCTGAAAGGAAAAAGTTATTGTATACAGTTTTATTTTTCCTTCTCTGACATATATGAAACAAAACATTTAGCAGCAGTTACAGAAAATAAAAGAAGCATGAGGTTGTACCTGGAGGAGGTGAACAAATAGCCGTTGATGCCTCCGAACGTGGACAGCGCCACGGAGATGGGCATCACCCAGGAAAACATGCCCAGCAGCTTTTCCCCAAATGTCTGAAACAGCAAAACAGACGCAGCAATGTCGCAAGGTTTAAACATCTTCCAAAGACAGTTTAACTCACAGTAAAATGGAAACATTTTTGTTTCTAGACAATGTGGCAAATGACAACATGTCTGGAGAGCAGCAGAGATCTTTAAACACTGTACTAAACTGACCCTTATGGAGGAAGGGAAAAAGCACTGCATATTGGAAGGAAGATATTAGAAATCCCACTTAAAGTTTTCCACAAGTCGTGAGGGAAATGCAGCAAACGTATGGAAGACGATGCTCTGATCAAATAAAACCGTCTCAGCTACACTGGAATGGTTTAAATTAAGCGTGTGAAAACTTTTTGTTACAGAGGTGAAAAAAAGTTACCTAGCGGGTCAAAATTGATTACTTTTAAAAGAATCAACAATACAAAAAAGTAGGTTTTTTACTTGTTCAACAATAAACTGAAAGTGCAATTTTTTGTAAATCAAAGTAGTTTAATTTTTCATAGGAAAGCAAGACATAGATCAAATTTTGATTGAAACCTGAAAAGGAGTTTTCCATGTTTACCTCATTAAAAGAAAGACAGCCAGTTTGCAAATTATTTTGGATTCATTTAGAAAAAAAAAAAGAAAAAAAATACAGCACAAGAACAAGATTTCAGGCCACTCTCTTTGAAAACACCTGCTGGGTCTGGTTAAGTTTAATACAGTTATTAAAGTCACTGGATGAATGTAGTCAAATGTTACTCTGAAAGTAAATAAAATGGGGAGGGGTGGTAAATATTTTGTGTTAAGGCTAACTTTTTTTTGTTTCTTTATCCTAATAAAAATTTGCTGGGGTTGGGTCAAATTTGTCTAATTTTGGAATTGCAGACAAGAAAAGAAAATCAGACTAGGGGTCACTGTACTGGGGCAGAGTTATTACATAAGTTTGTAGTCCACTACACTCATGTCTGTGTTTAAAAAGAAGAAATGTTTTAAGTTAATTCTGTGCTGTTTATCGTATCGGCTGATGCTAAACCTCAGATATCTTTATTGGTATGAGAAGTGAAAAGAGTGGTTTGATGCATCTTCTAGTTTGAAGAATGCAACACACACCACATTTTTTCAGATTTTTACTTGTGAAAGAACTATTGAAAATCATTTCCCCTCCACTTTGTAATGATGAACAACTTTGTGTGATTTGAAAAAACACACAAAAGTAATCAGACAGATGAAGGGCAGCTCACCACTGCTACAGCATTGGAGGTGAGCAGCTCCTCTGGAGTCATGGAGGTGAAGTAGGCGATGTTGGTCATGGTGTACACCAGGGTCACCAGTGGGATGGAGATGTAAATGGCAAGCGGCAGGTTCCTGATGGTACAAAAAAGTAAATAAATAAATCATTCAACTGGAGCAAAGAAGCCGAGACGCGCTCCCTGTCGTATCAGTGCCATCGTACTTGCGTGGTTCCACAACTTCCTCCGTAACGTAGTTGAGGAAGTTCCAGCCGCTGTAAGCGAAGGAAGCCTGGAGGAAGGCCAGAGCTATCTGTCCAAACGACGGGTCCTGGCTGAATTCAAAGGCCACGCTGGGCACCAGGGCGTCGTAGTGACCTGCACAGACACGGGAGGAAGATGGGCCAAAATGAGGTAGGAATTAACACCTGAAAAAGGTAATGGTTGGATCATTAATAGAAGAAGAAAAATCTAAAGTTGTAAACTCATTTTCCTGTTGTTAAGTTTGGTGATGTGATAGATTTACAGAATACCTGGACAGTAGAGAAAGAATGTTGAGATGTCACAGTCAGTCACTCATATCTGTGAGTTTATGATTACATGTGCTGCAACTAACAATTATTTTAGTGATAGATCATTCTATTGATCATTCTGACAATCGGATAAAAAGTACACATTCTGCATAATTTAATTCATTTTTTTAAATAAGGAAAACATATAAACAAAAAACTAAAAGAATACTTCTAACCTCAACATATGAAAAGCTCAGCACTTTCTGCTTGACGTAACATCAAAAACAGTGAAGCTACATGTTTGCCACTTGAGGAATTTTGGGTAAGGCATATTTGAAGACTAAGGGGTTTTTTTTTATCTTAAATTAAAAGTGTGTAAATCTTTTTGTACACTTTTGGAAGTGTGCTGTTTTTGAGTCTGAATGCTCCAGAAACGACTAATCTGTTACTAAATTGGGTTAAGTAATCCATTGCTTTTAATCGTATCAGTTGCAGTGTTTACCTTTAAAGATCTGGACGAGTCCAACCACGATGATGAGCACAAGAGCCAGAAGTTTTCCTACAGTGAAAATATCCTGGATCCTCGTCGCCCAGCGGACACTGGAGCAGTTCACCCAGGTCAGAAACACTGTACACACACACACACACACACACACACACACACACACACACACACACACACACACACACACACACACATAAATATATATTTCTTGCTATGCTCAGACAGCATAGCAAAAATGCTTTATTGATACACACAGACCCAGAAATCAGATGAGGATGGAAACACAACAAAACCCTTTACATGATCAACACTCAAACTATGCCTGCTAGCCAAGCTTTTTGTACTGTCTTAAAAAAAAAAAGGTAAGCACATGATTTTCTGGGTTAACTAAATTACCAACAGAAAGTTGCCTGATTTTACCTCACAGTTTCTAATCCATAAGCATGCCTTAATCTGTCAAATTGACCTAATTTAATAAACCCACATTTTTTCATTCACCCAGATGGAGTTGTGATTGTGTCAGAGCACCGATTGTGATTCTTATAAAGGAAAGGTAAAGAAGTCTCTCTCTCTAATGTTAGTCTGGATAACAAACTCATTTAAAAAAAAAAAAGGTTTTGGAACCAGGAAGTTGCCAGTTACAACTGGGAAGAATCAGGAATCTGGAAGAATTTAGCTCACGTTGATGAAACTATTGTTTTGTTTTATTTCTTTAATGACTGGGAGCAGCTGGTTAGCCTCTCAAAAGCTCCAATAACACATGAGCTATGACCCCAAATCCCTGAAAAGTTGAAAAGGAGACGAACTGGATGCTGATCACACCGTCTCTTCCATAAATCATAACGGATGGCGATCACATCCCCGACTCCAATGTTTCTCTGCTCGACTTTCTAACCAAACTGCCAGACGGGGATTTTAGAAAGAGCATCAAAAGCAAATGAGGTGGATTAGCAGTGCTTGCTAATGACTGACAGTGGCATCCAGCACATGCTACTGTGGATTATCATCTCTTCTGCTTGGATGTTAAGCTGTTAGCATGTCAGACTGTGATACAGTACCACTACCTGAATAAAAACTGAAAATTTCCTCCAGCATAAAATACTAAGATTACTCTTGTAGTTGGAGTCATGCAAAACCATTTCTTAAAACGCAAGAAAACACATCATTAAGTGAAACGCTGTAATTACCTACTCTAAACATACACCAACACATCTAAAGCTGTGCTGTTTTGTTCTGGGAGTTGCCTCCAGCCTGGAACTCTTGAAGCCTGCAGCACCAACATCGAGTTTATCAGCTCTTCATAGGGGTCTGACCTGTAGAACAACAAGATCCCAACAACCCATTCTCATGCTGCAGCCACAGCATCCGCATCTCTATTGACTGTTAAGTCGCGCATGCTGAAATTGCGAAAATGAATTTGCTTATTGAAAAGTTTTTTGATAAAATGTTTTTTGGCGATAGGATGAAGTGTTTTTTTTTCTTCAGCTGCATAAAAATTGGTTTATTTTGCAAAAATGCAATGAAAACATGTGAACAAACATATTCATGTGTTTTTTGAATTGCTTTTCTTATTTAACGGAAACATTGCAACTGAGAAATTGTGTGCTTTCGCAATTAGCTGGATAACTGCAAAGTTTTGCAAACGTTTGTAATGAAATTATTAGCTGTGTTCTCATTACAAATGTGCGTAAAACTTTGCTGATAATCCACTATTGTCGAAAAAGTACAATTAAAATCACGTGATGTCATTAAAAAAAAAAAAAAAAACATGCCACGCCATCATCCTCCAACTACTTCCAATGTCTTATTAGTGTTTTTATTTAGTTCCTGTCTTCTTCATGGTTTGTGCAGTGGTAACATCCAGTTGCTGATTATGTGACTCTTATGATGCAAGAAAAAAAATGTTTCTATTGCAGTCTTGCAAAATCAAATTAATAAATTTCGATACAGCCAAAAAAACATCCACCTCATCCTAACGGCAAAACTTTTTAATTGACAACTGGTTTTTTTGCCCTCTAAACTGCTGTGTTCCTATTAAGCAAATTAATTTTGAAAATATCTAATTGCACAATTATAGGGTCAATGGAAACACAGCTTAAGGCAGCAAACAATTTTGAAGCTTGTCAGGATTTTAAAAAGTTATAATTTTGCAATTTCCTAGTTGAGAAGAAAAATGTTTTAAATAAAATTGGTAGCTGGAGTCTATTGTAGGCCTCTTGGGTTTTTTTAGTGAACAAGCAGCATCGTGAAGGAATACAGCAGACATGTCAGGGAGAAAGTTGTGGAGCAGTTTAAAGGTGGGTTAAGTAAACTGTTTTCAAGGAGATGTTGGCTGGTTATTCTAGGGTGAAACCCACAATGGTGCCTCAGCTGCAATTTTCCTCAAAACTGCAGAACTATTTCTGCTGAAACTAAGACTTTCCAATAAGATGCGATTTTTTTTTTTTTACCATTAAGCACTTTTAAAAAAAAAAAAAAAAAAAAAAGACCAAGGACACATTAAAATCCCACTATTAGGGCATTAAAGTTTGTGGTTTAAATGTGACAAAATGTCAGATACTTTCGCAAGACTTTCCACTTCCATGTCTGCTAAGTAAATCTTAATTTTTCATCCCTTTTACCAAGTTTCTGAATGATTAAATCCTTATTTTTGGTCAAACAAAAACCCTAAAACCTATTATTTCTTCGTTACGCTAACTTCTCACCGCACCTCACTTTCAGACTACTAACACAGTGACTTGCATGGGAAACAATAGTGTGTGTACCGGCACATACAGACGGCAGGTCATCCATCACTAGAACAAGGTTTTCCCTCCCACCACAGAACACTTCTTCCGCTGGTACAGGCACTCTCACACACACACCACACACACACGCACACACACACACGTGAATAGTTGGCAGGAGGTTTTGGTGGCACTGAGCAGAGCTTTTTTTTTTCTCCACAGCACTGCTGAGTTTTATAGTCGGTCACTCTCTGGATGTTGCATGCGTTTCCGTTCCTGTGTTCCCTCCACCACCTCCCCCAAATTTCCTCTGTTTTAACCCTGACAGGAAGGAGGTGCCAGCGGCTTTGAATGTGACAGTGCAGGTAAATATGTGTGCTGCCATCAGGGGCTTCCATTGAAGGCTGCTCCAGCACTTGAATACTAAACAAATTACTGCTTTTAGCCTTAATGGATTCAGATCCAAAGTCTGTGCAGATTTATCGGGGAGGGGGAGTGCGGGGTGTGGGGGGCTTTAACCTCAGGAACACCCACTTTTGGTTCAGGATGTGGTCACTGGAGTCACTGAATTGGTAATAACTCCCACCAAGTTCCTCCAACATCAGAAAGCAGTCAGAGTTAGTTACATAACTGGGGATGGGTGATCAATTGATCAAATTGAATAGATTAATGAAATTTTGGGCATTTGAAATGGGAAAATCTGGATTTTTCATACATACCAAGTCTATTCCAATTACCATCTATGACCGTTATTAGGAATCAACTTAAAATATAAATGATGAACTGAAATGATGTGTTTGTAAAGTGCCTTGAGACAATATTTGTTGTGAATTGGAGCTATATAAATAAATCAAATTCCTCTGTTTGGAGTCCTGGGCTCTCTGTTATGATCTCTTTTGGCTCTGATACTCTGACACACTGAGCAGTGGGAATGATTGCTCTCCTCATTTTAAATGAATGTTAAAAAAAAAAAGAAAGAAAAAGCGCAGTTCCACAAATCAGATGATGTATGTCGTAATTTAAAGGCCAAAAAAAAATAAAAAATAAAAAACAAACAAACAAAAAAGTCTTCAAAATGAATTTTATATTTGATGATTATGTTTGTTTGGTTTTTCTTATTTATTTTTCGTGATATTTTATATGTTTGAAATAATTAAAATAATTGCCAATGTGTTGATATTTTGGGTTATATTTGTGTGTGCTGCTATTCCTGCTCTGTAAAAGACCCAATTTTTTAACTCCCCTCTAACATTTATAGGATGCGACAGGCCATGTATGTATCTAGAAAAAAACAAAAACAAAACGGGGGTTTGCTGTTCAAGTGCTTTGCACTATAGTTCTAAAAATCATAAAACATACACTCGCTCTACAAAGTCATAAAACATAAACGGCACCAAACACAAAATTTCTGTTCTGTAAACACTAAGGCCAAAATGACAGAACAGAAATTGTAGAGTTTATGTGGAAACCGCTTCAGTCTGGTGACCAACAAAGATCCTCCAGTCAAACAGTAAATTAATTTAGTGCAGCATCTAATATAGATTCAGAACATTCTGGGGATTTTAGAAAGCTTGTCAGCACTAAATTGAAATCACTGGTCACAAACTGCATGAGCACATGACTTCTGTAGATGGGTCAACACCCGTCATGTATCTAGTG